TCCTTCGTTTTGACTGATCGGGGGAGGCAGGCGGCTGTTGCCCAGTTTTTTAAAAAACTCTGCACATTTATGTTTCACAGGGTGCAGAAGAAGGGCTTTGCACCTTGCCTGGCAGAGAAACCATACGCCTTGCACCCCTCCTGGGCAGCGCCCGCCTGCCCATGACTCCCGAGCCTCCCCCAGTCTGTCAAAACAAAGGGGGAAGGGGGCAGGAGATCTGTACCACTGGACGTCCCTGGTTTACCTTCGGCTACCAGGCTGGCTCTGGGCTGCTGAGGCTGCCGCTGCCACATTTCCCGGGGACAAATTTGCAAATCTAGGGACATTCTGGGGGTGGAATTTGTCTGGGGACAGATTTGCAAATCCAGGGACTGTCGCCGGGAACCGGGGACGTCTGGTAACCCCATCCTAAGAATCACCTGACCATGTCTTTACGGATAAGACCAGTTAGAGAATCCAGGTGCATCTGTGGTACAACCTCAGGGCTGTATATATTTCAGTGTAATAAAAATAATATTTGAAATAATTTGTGCGCCAAGAATAGCTCCGTCCCTGAAAGCAGGGCTGATTTCTCTTCCACCAAACATTGGCAGCTGGTGTGTGTTTCAAATTCTCCTTACCACTTGGCAGGACGAGACGGATAACCTCGCTGTTTTGGTCAGTTCAGTCTGTCTTGTGTGATGCACATCGATTACAGCATAATTTGGGGAAAGCAAAGGAACCCAAAGGTGCTCAACTTTAGCCACACTGAGTCCAGGACTATTGGGTACCCTAGATAATTATGTCCCAGAAATTCCACCTCCAAACTCCTGAAAAACTGGTTTATTTGCACAGCTTAAGCCCCTCTTTGCAGAAAATCTGGTTCAGCTCTTATTATTCATTTCACATATTTATATACTGAAAAAAGTCTCTATTCTAATAATAATAATTTTATTATTATTACCCCGCCCATCTGAATGGGTCTCTGAGCCGTTTACAAAACAAGAAATGCGAGATGCAACACGACGCTGAACAAAACTTTCGATGCCTTGCAAGGAAACGACAAAAGCCCCCCCAAAAAAGAAAACAAAAAACACAGCAACACATTTTTGAAACTTCTTTCGAATCACGGATCCCTTCGCCAGTTGTTGTCGTGATTATTTTTAAGTGCAGAACAGGTAGCTGCTTTCTTAACATCGCATTACTCAAAGAGGGAGTATCGCGTCCCTTTTTGCACCAGTGGGCTGTAAAATTAGCAGCACTCACAAGTGCTGAGTTTAAAATACAAAATGGGACACACCCTGCTCCCTGGGAACACCTGCCTCCCCTTCCCTTTCCCCTCACCCCTGCTTTCCGCATCCTCCTTCTCTCAGCTTGCCAAGCGCCATTTGTTACAGCTGAAGTGTTTCCTTTTCTCTCTCAATATTTCCTGTCTGTCTGGCATCTCTTTTGTAGCTCATAAGGGATAGAGATTTAAAGTTACATCATTCCCCCCACAGGGTCACGGAAAGAAGGGGGCAGGTTGTGTTTCTGGGTGCTCCTGTGTTTCCCCACTAAGATTTCATCAGGTATTACTATCATTAGGGACGCAGGTGGCGCTGTGGGTTAAACCACAGAGCCTAGGACTTCCCAATCAGAAGGTCAGCGGTTCGAATCCCCGCGACGGGGTGAGCTCCCGTTGCTCGGTCCCTGCTCCTGCCAACCTAGCAGTTCAAAAGCAAGTGCAAGTAGATAAATAGGTACCACTCCAGCAGGAAGGTAAACGGCGTTTCCATGCGCTGCTCTGGTTCGCCAGAAGCGGCTTAGTCATGCTGGCCACATGTATGCCGGCTCCCTCAGCCAATAAAGCGAGATGAGCGCTGCAACCCCAAAGTCGGCCACGACTGGACCTATTGGTCAGGGGTCCCTTTACCTTTATCTTTATTACTATCATTATTATTTCCATTTGTTTGTCACTTTATACAAAAGAGGTCTCAAGCTGCACACACCATACATTTAAAGCACATTCATTCCCCCTGAGAATCCTGGAAACAGTAGTTTGTCCATCGCAGAGCTACAATTCCCAACACCACCACAAACTACAGTTCCCATGATTCTCAGGAGGGAATAATGTGCCTTAAATACCGTATTTTTTGCTCTATAAGACTCACTTTTCCCCTCCTAAAAAGGAAGGGGAAATGTGTGTGCGTCTTATGGAGCAAATGCAGGCTGCGCAGCTATCCCAGAAGCCAGAACAGCAAGAGGGATCGCTGCTTTCGCTGCGCAGTGATCCCTCTTGCTGTTCTGGCTTCTGAGATTCAGAATATTTTTTTTCTTGTTTTCCTCCTCCAAAAACTAGGTGCGTCTTGTGGTCTGGTGCGTCTTATAGAGCGAAAAATACGGTATATGGTGTATGCAGCCTCAAAGCAACTTTACAAGATAAAATACAAACACATAAATTAAAAGCTATAATTCTTTTTTTTAATGTACAATACAGTATTGTACAGATTTCCTAAAATGCTCATCCAACACCACAATGAGGATAAGTCTTACCCCACACTAATAAAAGAGGAGCGTTACATTTGACCTGAGTAAACAGAAATGTCTTAGCTAAAAACTGACCATGGTGGAGCTAGGGGAGTTTCCCTGGAGAGAGAATCCCCAAACCATTTTAGGAGACCCCCACCTACAAAGCCTTTTGTGGTGACATCCCAGCAGCATAGGATCCATGCGGCACCAATTGCATCCAAAACCAACCTACTCTTCGTTCGGGAGCGAGAAAATATAAAATAGCAGGCGAATAACCCACTGAAGGCACACTGGCAAAACTATATCCATTTTGGAAATACCAATGGCCTGTGAACTCTCCAGGTTGGACAGTGACCAAAAACAGCAGCAACCCTGAGATAGAACACCTCCCACAAAATATTGCAATGTGAAGTTTGGGGTTCTAGCCAGCCAGCCATACCCTTTTCCAGGCAACTCCAATCCACACACACCCAGGTTTTCCATTCCCACCTCCCTCCAAAAACACCCAACATTCTGGGGACATAGAGCATGCTCAGACCTCACTGGGCTGTTTTGTGGGGGAGCTTACTCACTTGGGGGGAGGGAATACTTTTGCAAACCTTGGGTCTCCCCCAAGCCTGCTGGTTTCTCATTTTTGTGCATGGATGGCTTTTGTCTTGGCAATTGACGGATCCACAGTGGGGAAATATTTGCCTCTCTGATTAATATCTCCAGGTTCTCCGAGCGGGGCCACTCCTTTTCCATTCCAACAGTGGCCGGGAAATGTATGGGCAGGGGAATAAAGGTGATGCAATTCAACTCCAGCATCTGGTGCTGAGGGACGCAGGTGGAGCTGTGGGTTAAACCACAGAGCCTAGGGCTTGCCGATCAGAAGGTCGCGGTTTGAATCCCCGTGACAGGGTGAGCTCCCGTTGCTCGGTCCCTGTTCCTGCCAACCTAGCAGTTCGAAAGCACACCAGTGCAAGTAGATAAATAAGTACTGCTCCGGTGGCATTTCCGTACGCTGCTCTGGTTCGCCAGAAGTGGCTTAGTCACGCCGGCCACATGACCCGGAAGCTGTACGCCGGCTCCCTCGGCCAATAAAGCGAGATGAGCGCCGCAACCCCAGAGTCGTCCGCGACTGGACCTACAGGGGTCCATTTACCTATCTGGTATTGAGAGATAGACTGCCACCGTATATGGAAGTTCCATTTTTACCTGTTATGATGACTACCCCTTGATAGACCTAACCACAACGAATTGATCCAATCTCTTTTTCCTCCTCCTTATTCCAACCGCTGCATTGGCAAATGCAATGAGAGCTCCCCGTCCTGTTCTTGATGGGTCGCAATCATGGCTAATTGGGAAATTTGCAGGAAAACTCTTCAGCTTAGGAGATGGATGGTGCCAAACTCTCCCCTCTCTCTCTCCCCCTTCCTGTAACTTTTCCACAGTTCCAGCCACAGCTCCAAGCCTAACATGGCTCAGAGGAATTGGCCTACAGAGGTGTTGCAATTATGTCCATAATAAGCTAAAAAAAGTCTGCCTCTTGTTCACACAGCAGTGCCCTGAACCTTTCCTCCTATTAACGTCTATGGAAGCTTTGCAATCAATTTCAAGCAGTCCTGCGTCTTAAAGAGAGACACTGTGAAATTTAGCATGGAGGAGCAAGGGGAAGAGAAGTGATCAGACCTAACAGCAGTTCTCTGGAAAGCGACACCTGTTCTTAATGCACAAGGTTGAGCAAACGGGGTTGTTGCTTTAAAAAAATTACGTTGCAATTTCCACAATGCACCCTAGGAGGCTATCTTAACTGAGAAAGGAGTTCTCATTCAACTATTGTTTCTCGCCCTGTGCAAAAGCTATTAAGCAGAGATGGTGTTGCTATCTTCCAGGAGAATAAGAGAGCAAGCTGGCCAGAACCATCCAGGGAAAAAGATCTGAAGTCTTTGACTGGCAGGAGAAAGCACTCAAGAGCACCGCAGGGGAGAATCTCCTCTCTGGCTAGGAGGGAAGACAGGCTGGCTGACCTAATAGGGCTGTTCCCGTCTTTATTTTCTGTAATTTAGGGACCTGCAGCGCACAGGAAGGAAGGGGAGAGAGAGAGGCTGTAAATGTGATAAGGAACCCCGAGGGAAGGATATTGCTAAAGAACAGCATCATGGCTTATTGCTTGTTTCGAAAAGAAAAGAAAAAGAAAGAAACACCAACTTTTCCAAACCCAAGACTGAACATGAAGTCTGAATGGCCTGCCCTGGCTATTTGGCCCACAACTAGGATAGAGATATTTTTTATTTTTGCAATGGAGAGCAAGTTAAGAAGCACTGTAAATAAACTCCAATGACAGGTTTGCAACCTGAAGTCGTGCTAGGCTTCTGCTGTCCTCTAGGGGGCATCTGTAGACTGGAAAGTTCAAGAGGCAGGGAGTCATCAGTATGTCTCTATAAAGAAGGAGGCAGGGCCTTCAGCATCCCTGCCAGATGCAATACTGCTGCTGCAACATGCCTTACTGTAGCAGCAGCAGCAGCAGCAACATCTTGGTAGCTCAATCGGTAGAGCATGAGACTCTTAATCTCATGGGTCATGGGTTCAAATCCCACGTTGGGCAAAAGATTCCCACATTGCCGGGGGCTGGAGAAGATGACCCTTCAAACTCTACCATGCTACGATCCTAGGATCTGATGGAGGAGGCCATTGCCTCCACCTCCTCAGCTATCCATCCCTGCCGATGCCACCCACTGAGGAACGAGCTGAGCGATAGGGAGCCCCCCACCCCGAGTGCAACCCATAAACTGGGGAGGGGTTAAGATGCATTCAGCTCAATCCCAATGGCAAAGGAGGCTTCGTAAGGCTAGGCTTTGGGGCTGGACAGCAAGGCGATCCAGGTTGAGACGAGTTTACGTTAAGCACCTGAGGTCTTGCAAGGGCATCTCCCACAATATGCTACCAAGTTAAGAGAAATATGGCTGGCAAAGGCTGTGGCAGCACCTCAAGGGAGTACCAGCACATCATCTTAGCTCAGAATAGGCAATCTTGGTAGCCAATTAAATTTGGGGGCTACTCCCATTCACACACACTGCTTTCATTCATCCCATGTACTGCTTACTCGCTTTACCTTCCAGCCTCAACCATTATATTTCTTGTTGGTGCTGTTTATGAGCCTTCCCTTAAGGATCCTTCTAGCAAGTCAGAGCTCAGTACTGTCTAAACTAACTGGCAGTAGCTCTAGCCAGTGTGGTGTAGTGGTTAAGAGCAGTGGACTCGTAATCTGGTGAACCGGGTTCGCATCTCCGCTCCTCCACATGCAGCTGCTGGGTGACCTTGGGCCAGTCACACTTCTTTGAAGTCTCTCAGCCCCACTCACCTCACAGTGTTTGTTGTGGGGGAGGAAGGGAAAGGAGATTGTTAGCCGCTTTGGGACTCCTTAGGGCAGTGATAAAGTGGGATATCAAATCCAAACTCTTCTTCTTCTTCTTCTCCAGGTCATTCCTGCCAGGGAGCTTTCTCTGCCACTGAGCTATGGTGATTCCCTTTGGCCAGAGGAGTCAAGAGGGCTGTGAGGCCAGCAGCCATTAAAGGCGAAGCAGCAAGGGGCTGGGGAAATGCTGGGACCCCACCCCGCCCCAGTGCCAGCACTGGAACCCGCTTCTGTTCCAGAATCTACACCGTGCTCTTGGTAGGCAAGGGGTTAAGGACGTAAGAGCAGCCCTGATGGATCAGACCAAAAGCCCACCTGGTCCAGCGTCCTGTTCCCTCAACGGCCAATCATAATCTCATGCCAGTCACCCCTAGGCTATCAGTATTATGTGGGAATTCAAAAGCAGGCCAGGAATGTAGGTTTGTGCTATTAAAGTGCTCTGGCTCAGGTGAAACAAATCCAAAGGTTTAAAAAAAACCCGCTCCGTCTTTTGCAGTTAGGAAAGTGGTGAGAAAATGCACATTGAGTGTGGGATAAATGATCCATGGACCGGAAGATATATAAGCTCCACACAAGCAGATCCAGATGGATGCTCAACAAACAGGTCATGCAGAGAAGCCAGCTGTGTCACCCTAAAAACTAGATTTCAGCCTTTGAGCAAGGGGATTCTGTGTAGCCATGATGACCAGTAGTCACCGAATATGTCCTTGTGGATTACTGCCAGAGAAATAAATAAATAAATAAATAATGTTCCTAAATGGCATGACATGTAGCCAAATCCTATGTCCCATTAAATGTAAGGGAGCTTATTCCTGAATAAGCATGCATAGGATTGCAGCCTAAATATGTTAAAAGCCAGTTTGCACCCAAACCAACCTAAAAGGTAAAGGTAAAGGGACCCCTGACCATTAGGTCCAGTCGTGGCCGACTCTGGGGTTGCGGCGCTCATCTCGCTTTATTGGCCGAGGGAGCCAGCGTACAGCTTCCGGGTCATGTGGCCAGCATGACTAAGCCGCTTCTGGCGAACCAGAGCAGCACACGGAAACACCCTTTACCTTCCCGCTGGAGCGGTACCTATTTATCTACTTGCACTTTGACGTGCTTTTGAACTGCTAAGTTGGCAGGAGCAAGGACCGAGCAATGGGAGCTCACCCCGTTGCGGGGATTCGAACCGCTGGCCTTCTGATCAGCAAGTCCTAGGCTCTGTGGTTTAACCCACAGCGCCACCCGTGTCCCTCCAGTCCAACCTACTTCCTAGCAATTGTCCTTTTCAGATTGCCACCCTGCACCCCCCAAAAAAAAATCCAACGTTCTCAGTAATAATTCATTTGTAATAACATTTGACCTTATTTGCAAAGGGACTTTTTCAAAGATGAGAGTGACTGAAAATAAGCAATTGTTCCAATTGTTTCCCTTCATTCCTCTGGGGGTGAAATTAAGAGAATGCATGCTGAGGTTGCAATCCTTTACTCACAGATCTGAACTCAGTGAGTCTTATTTCTGAATAGACATGCACAGGATGGCATTGTTAGGAGTAATGAGAGACTTCCAGAATTACCTGTTATCTGGTTCTCCCTACATACACTACAATTAGATTCCATAAAATATCCCTAAGGGGCATTAATACAAAGCCTCAGGATAACAAGATCACAGGACTTCCTAGACAACCTGTTTCATAGGCAAAATCCACTTAGACTTCAGTGCAATCCTACACCATGTTTACTCAGAAGTAAGCCCATTGGAGATAAATGGGACTTTTGTCTCAAGGAAGAATGTGTGGGATTGCAGCCTTGGCCATAAAGTTGCCATCTATTAAACAACAAACCAAAAGCTTGCTTGCAGCTAAAAATAATAATAATCCTGTTATTCTGGCAATCTGACAATTTACAACGTTCAAGAACGGAAAATAAGAGGGTCCCAGTATGATTGCAACCTGATGCACCCCATGTTTACACGGAAGTAAGCCCTCCTGCAGCTCATAAGGCTTACTCCAAAGTGTGCACAGAACTCCCACCTTTACAGTGATATCCTGTAGCAGCTTACCAGAAATAAAGTCCCATTGGGTTCAGTAGCACTTACTCCTTGATAAGCGTGCACGGAACTGCATCCCTGAAGTGATGTTATGACCACAGAAGTCCCACGTTCAACTCCCTTCTCAGCCCTCGAACACATGACGCAACCTCTCTCTTGTTCCAGCCAGCCTACCTTACAGGACTGTCGTCCCTTTCAAGGAAACAGGCACCGACGTCAGAAAAACCCCTCCGGGTCAGCCATCGCTCTCCAAATGAAGGGAGGAAAAAATCTAGTCGAAAAGCCAACTCGTTTTTTCAATATTCGGTACCGGCTGAGATGTTTTGCTACTGCGGGTACCGAGAACAATCAGCCACCTGCCTCCCCTTACTCATTTTGGAGGGTCGTTTTTCCTGAAAGGCCATAAATTTCCTTGGTTTTCCCTGCTGCATATGGCGATATATCTACCGACCTCTGGGCAGTATGTTTTAAGTACTGATCCTGGGTTTTATTTGATTTGGGAAATGTCAATTTGGTGGGGGTGTTTTTATTAAAAGGGTAAGCTGGGAAAGTCTGATCGAAACGAGAAGCGCCGCACATCGAAAAGCGCTGCAAACGAAACGGCTTTCCCATTTGCCAGCTCCCCACACCACGAGACAGCTTCCTTGCAAATTCAAACAAAAACGGAGAATGAAGGTTTGTGGGAAAACGCTCCACGCGGGCGCATTTCAAATCCACTCGGATTCTCTCCGAAAAACTACTGCACCCAAAAACTTCCTTCTTAAGCAGGAAAGGAAAGGAGAATAGGAGAGGGAAAACCCCCCAACCACCTGTGCGCTCACGCCACCGTTGCGCGCAACAGCTCCGTGCGCAAACCCTGATCCGGCTGGCACGGGGCCAGTGGCCGCTGTCCGCTAGCCCGGCGCCCGGCTCGCCTTCCCTCCCTCCCTCCCGGACCTGCGACGAAACCCTCCCTCGCCAGCGGGGGAAACCGGCGGCAGTTGCTACCACCGCCGACCTAAGGAGGGCGGAGAGACAAGGAGACTCGATGGATGGATGGAAAAGAAGGAAGGAACGGCACCAACCTGGCGGCGAGGCTGCCTGCAGGTGGGAGAATCCTCTCGGCCCGGCTCCTCCTGGGCAGCCGCGGCGGAGGCGCGCCTTCTCCTCGTCGCCGCGGCCGCTGTCCGCTTCCCCGGGCTGTGACAGCGACCGCTGGGCACCCAGGGCGGCTCGGCGCGCCTTGGCGCAGGCGGACGCGGCAGCACCTGCCGCCGAACTTGGGCAGCCTCGAAGGACTGGCTGGCTGGCTGGCTGGCGTCCTCCACCTTTCCTCTCTCTTTCTCTCTCTCCAGGCTGTGGAGGTGGCGGCTGCAGCAAAGGGGCTAGGAAAGGAGGGGTGGTGGGAGAGATCAGGAATGTGCAAAGGGCCCGGATGTCTGGTGTCTCCAGCCTGCTCCCTCCTTCCTCCGCCGCCCCCTTTACGCGCAGCCACTTGGCGTGGCGGGGAATCTCCAGCGCGCGCTCCTTGGGGAGCCAAACTGTTGCTGGAGGCGAAGGAGGAGAAGGAGGAGGAGCTTTAGTGGTCTCTGTCCTTTCCTACGGAGAGGAAGCTTTCCTTTTTTTAATTAAAAAGAAATAAGCACACACACAAAGATTGAAGCGCTCCCCGCGCCTTTCCAAAGCGCCTCTTTGCAAACCATTGTCCTTTTTGCTCAGACTCCCCTGGCACCTGTTTCCAGCGTGCGAAGCTTGCTAAAAGCCTGGCACAGGTCGCTAGGAGCAAAGGCAAGGCGGGTATATTGTCAGAATATTCAGCCGGTGGCAGCGGGTGAGGTATCAGAGCAGAAGGAAAGAAGGGAGCGCTTCTTCGAGGGGCGCGCGCCGGCAGGAGCGCAGCAGCGTGCGGCTTCCACGGCCAGGCAAGATCACGGGAGACATGATAGCCCGGTCAATGGCTGTAAGACATGGTAAGCTAGATGGAACCTCCATGGCCAACGGCAGTGTACCTCGGAGTTCCAGCAGGTGGAGAGAAAGGGCAGAAGTGGTGTGGTTACCTTCTGTGAGCTCCCCTTGGAGCATCTGACTGGTGAGCGTTAAGAAGGCAGAAGCCGGAGAGGTGAGTGAAGGCTCACTCTGGTCCAGCAAGGTCTCTGATTTATGTAAAAGGTAAAGGTACCCCTGACCGTTAGGTCCAGTCGCGGACATGCTGTGCAAAACACACACAGAAAGACAACCCTGCCGCATAACCCCCGATTAACTCCAAATACTTTTTAAACCCCTGCGAGATTTCGCACCCTTGAGCGAACACCAGAACTATGCAGAACTGTTTAAAAAAATATATTTTAACAGTCGTTTAGGTCGGGCGGGGCCTGATTTCTCGTCTGTAGGGAGCTATATGTACAGGGATGGCATTAAACATATACCTGTTTACACACACATAAAATCCTATCCTTAATTCAGCAAGCGCACCTCCCTAAATTTATCCTCACAGCAACACCCCTGTGAGGTAGGCAGCATCCTTTGGGAAAGAAGGAAAGCTCTCAGCGCAGCCGGCACTGGCGTCCTTCTATTTGCATATTGTGGGCAAGGCGGTTCGTTAAGACGCAGCGCGCTGGGTTTCCTGAATGAAATACGTTCCGGAGAGAGAGAGAGAGATCCCGTAATTCGCTGCCAAAAAAAGAAAGAAAAAGGAGCGGAGAGAACCGCCTGCCAGGGATGGGCTCTTTATGATTGTTTGCACTGGGGGCGTTCCTGCTTGCATTGCTGGCGTGTTCGCGCTTAGCTGAAAGGAGGCGTGCCGCCTTCGTCTGGACTTTCCGGGCTTTTCTTGCACGCACAAAAGAGACGCCTTTTCGCCTCCTGCGGAAGGAAACCGGGGAGAGCCCTGCGCAAGCGGGCGCGGTAATGAACGCGCGGAGGAAGGTTATGGTGGCGCAGGACGGCGTGTGCGCGGTAGCCTTCCTTCACAGCCCCGGGTCTAAACTCCAAGGCAAGGGGTAGTAAAGGAAAGGGAACCTTTGTGAGCCTAAGGGACACATTCCCGTTTGGACAGCTTTCCAAAGGCCACAGGCCAGGGGTGGCCGAGGCCAGAGGCAGAGTGGGGAAGAGCAGCGAATGTAAACTTTCCCATTGCGCAGTAGGCTTGAGGTGTTAGGAGAGGGGTGGCACATTGGGTGAGGGAATTGTTGTGCCCCTTTTTGGGTAGTTTGCCCACCTCTGGTTCCCACCTTGCACTTAGCTCTCACCTGTGGCTCCTAAATAAGCTGTCAGCATGCAACAGCGGCCAAAAATCCCAGGAATGGCTTTGATTCGCCGGCTAAACCAGGTGGAGGTAGCCGGGTCTCAAGCCCTTGGTGAGTTAGGGACTTCTCCTAAAGACAGGCTCCGGCAAATTGAGCAAATGAGACCATTAGTGGGTCCAGCGGTCAAGAAGGCGGTTTCTTCACATGCTGCAGAGGGAATTGAGAGGCAGATGGGGCTCACATACTCTCCAACATTTCTCCCATGAAAATAAGGATGGCCTATTCCATAATAATAATTTTAATATCTATACCCTGCCCATCTGACTGGGTTGCCCCAGCCACTCTGGGCGGTTTCCAGCATATATAAAAGGATAATAAAACATTAAACATTAAAAAACTTCCCTAGACAGTGGTATCTCTGGTTGCGAACGGGATCCGTTCCAGAGGCCCGTTCACAACATGAAAAGCCCGCAACCTGAAGTGCCATATCTGTGCAGGTGTGCAGCGTGATTTGGTGCTTGTGCGCATGCCCGAAGCGCGATTTAGTGCTATTGCGCATGCGTGAGCAGCAAAACCCAGAAGTAACCCTTTCCAGTACTTCCGGGTCGCCGCGGGACACAACTTGAAAAAACATTAACATGAATCAAATGTAACATTAGGTATGATTGTATAGGGCTGCCGTCAGATGGCTCAGGGGCTGGATAATGCCATACCCTTGAACATATCTCTGATGAAAGTAGGGACATCCTAAAGAAAGCAGGACATTCAGGGATCAAATCAGAAACCAGGACAGCTTCTGTAAATCTGGGACAGTCCCTGAAAAATAGGGACACTGGGAGGGTCTGGGCTCACCCACCTGGGCAAATAGCCCATCTAGGAGAAGGAATACTCTGATCCTAAACCTCCGCTGCCTTGTGGGATAGCTTTAGGAGGAGAAAAGACTAAGGGGTAAACCCTACACAAATCCAGAGTCCCTAAGACGGTTGGATGGAGCCTTGTATGCCTGCTTCAGGCAACTCCTGCAGCCAAGCTGGTCCGCATTCTGTTGGACCACATCAGTGAGCCCAAGACGGGGGTCTTCTCAACAGAGCAGCTCCAGGGAGGTCACTTTGGTGCTGCTAACACAGTGGTTTGACTTTGCCCGAAGAGATGCACTCCACTGTCTTTAGAGACAGACGGATGCCAACAACAACAGTAGGCTCCGTTCTACATAGACCAACGCTTCCTCTGTCCTCCATTCAGGCAATTAAGTGGCAACATCAGAGTTCAAGGACATGTTCCCACCAGACAAAGATGTGGGAGCCAGCAAGTGTGGCCTGGGAGAGAGTTCCAGGGGGCGAATATAAACACCTTGAGGGCCATCAGGGGGTGCTCCCTACAGTTTAGTCTCAATCTGTTTTGGTCTCTTTCAGTTTAGTCTAAACCAGTGTTTCTCAGCCTTGGATCTTCAACTGTTTTTGGACTAGAATTCCCATCATCTGGATTATAGCAAGCAGTAGTGCAGTCTGAGCTTCTGTGCATTGTTAGAACCAAGCTAAGGTACTGTTTTCTCCAACGCTGGTGTGCTCCCACTGCTGGTGTTGATGGAAAGATTCCATCAATGGTGTCTCCAAAAAAAATTACACGTCACCTGGGAAGGCAGGCGAACAAATGCCAGTGTACTGGAAGAAGCAAAGATCACCAATGTCAAAGCAATGATTCTTCCACATCAACTTCTTTGGACTGATCATGTTGTGCAGATGCCTGATTATTGTCTTCCAAAGCAACTGCTCTATTCCAAACTTAAGAATGGAAAGCTTAACTAAAGAGGTTCCAAGACTCTCTCAAGGCAAATCTTTAAAAATGTAGTGTTATTGTTTAGTCGTTTAGTCATGTCTGACTCTTCGTGACCCCATGGACCAGAGCACACCAGGCATTCCTGTCTTCCACTGCCTCCCACAGTTTGGTCAAACTCATGCTGGTAGCTTCAAGAACACTGTCCAGCCATCTCATCCTCTGTCGTCCCCTTCTCCTTGTGCCTTCAATATTTCCCAACATCAGGGTCTTTTCCAGGGAGTCTTCTCTTCTCATGAGTAGTATAAATGTAGTGACAAATGTAGTATAAACATTGACAATTGGGAAACACTGGCCCGCGAGCGCTCCAATTGGAGAACAGCCTTTACCAAAGGTGTCATGGGCTTTGAAGACACTTGAACTCAGGATGAAAGGGAGAAGTGCGCTAAGAGGAAGGCACACTTGGCAAATCCACACTGTGATCAACTCCCTCCAGGAAACCTAGGCCCCCACTGTGGAAGGAAGTGTGGGTCCAGAATTGGCCCCCAGAGTCACAGACTCACTGTTAAAACTGTGTTTATGGAAGACAGTCTTACTTGGCTGTGAGTTATTGCCAAAGAAGAAGAAGGTGTTTGGAGCGGGTGGCGCTGTGGGTTAAACCACAGAGCCCAGGACTTGCTGATCAGAAGGCTGGCGGTTCGAATCCCCACAACGGGGTGAGCTCCCATTGCTTGGTCCCAGCTCCTGCCAACCTAGCAGTTCAAAAGCACAACAGTGCAAGTAGATAAATAGGTATCACTCCGGCGGGAAGGTAAACGGCGTTTCCGTGTGCTGCTCAGGTTTCGCCAGAAGCGGCTTAGTCATGCTGGCCACATGACCCGGAAGCTGTACGCCGGCTCCCTCGGCCAGTAAAGCGAGATGAGCGCCACAAACCCAGAGTCGGTCACAACTGGACCTAATGGTCAGGGGTCCCTTTACCTTACACGGACAATAGTCATATAGGTTTCCTGTAGCTGCTTAAGAAATACTCCAGTCTGATGCCCTTTTCCTCCATCCAGCTTCCATCTGAAGCTGCTGTCGAGCTGAGTCGGCTGCATTTCAGGCAGCTTTTGCACATGTGCAAACAACAGAAGAGACTCGCCAGTCATCTGGTCATACCCGCTGATAAAAGATTCCAGTAGATCCACACCATACCTTTAAAGCCCATCCAATGGGATTCATTCAAATGAAAAGAGGCACAGAAATATAATAAATCAAATCAAATCGATGCACATTTAAAGCGAATGGCTTTCCCATCCTAGAATCCTGGGAACTGTAGTTTCCCCCTCGCAGAGCAACAATTCACAGCGCCCTTAACAAACTGCAGTTCCCAGGATGCGGTGGGGGAGCAGCGCCGGATTTAGGGCTGTGCAGGTGGTTCCTCTGTACAGGGCAGCAAGCCAAGGGAGCACAAAATTAATAATAATAATAATAATAATAATAATAATAATAATAATAATAATAATAATAAAGTATAAATAAATTATAGT